AAGCATACCGGTATTTCCAGTAGTACATCCGGCATCACTCCATCGTGAGTTGCACAAACAACTAGTACCATACGGACTCTTCAATGTCAAAGAGTTGCCTTTGTCATTACACGCTGCTGTGGCACTCCCTAAAATAGAGAGCACTAGCAATGCATACGCCACGATGCAGTGGTTCATGGTGGCGTTTATATTGAATTTATGTACAAAATATGGGGTGGTCGTTTCTTCTTCTTACGATGTATTTCAAATTGGGTCGATGTGGTATATGCTGGTCGATGTGGTATAAAATGGTCTATGTAGTTTATGTTGTGAGTGAAGCTATCTTGTCCGAGTTTTTAATATGTAAAGGTCAAGCGTGACAGTCGTGTGGCATAATGCTACGGTTTACTTTGCTTTGTTTTCTGTCGCTTGGCAAAGTATCTTTCAAATAAACGAACAGTTCAATCAATTGCACGACTATCTGCGCCTATGCACCACGCATAGCAATGCTAACATCGCTGATATTTATTAGTGGTACATACGTATGTATTACATAAAACAGTAAAAATTGTTTAAATTTATAAAAATAAAGCACTACATACTACTGTATTTCTATACTCTCAGTCTCTTCAGTCTCTCAGACCTTCAGGCTTCAGTCCTCAGAGTCTCAGACCTCATCCCCTCAGTTGTCACAGTCAGGTCACTGAGACTCTGAGGTCAGACATTAAAAGAGAGAGTCAGAGTCACTGCCTCTGAGGCGGCCTGAGACTTCAGACTTCAGAGACGCAGACTCCTGAATGAAAAAGTTACACTGGAAAATGTGACATTCTTCATCTACTCCTTTGAGTATTGTGCACCTATGGACATTGGACTAAGGTGCACAGGGGCAAGAACGGAACCTGCCCCTTTGAGTTTGAGGGGGTTATATTTCAGTCATATTTTGAGCATTCTTACATGTCAATAATGTCCAATCCCGATTTATTTTTTATTTTTTACAACGGCTAAATGTATAGTCGGCTACTGCTTCCTCTCGTTATTCCCAACAGCTTTCGTCGGTTTAAATTTTCAAATATATGTTTTTCAAAAAGTTAATGCCGACGATACTAAATCGACTCTCAGAGCCAAATAATGTGACTTTTTCAAACACGTATTTAAACAATATTCCAGCTTACTGTGGAATATTTTAGGGTGTTTTTGAGCTCCTGGAGCAAGACGTAGGGAACTACCGTTTATAATTTGATTTTGTTTTTTGACAAATTCAAGCACACACCTAGCATATATTTAGGGGGTTTATAACGAGGTTGGCGGGGGTCAGCCGGTCAGGGACCGGATTAGGGGGTGTTAACTGTCACCTCTAAAAAATGTGTATATTTTAGAAGGCTACGAAAAATGTAACTTTCAAAGAAATAAAAATAGGCTTTATTGTTTAATTTAGAAGGTTATGCTTTTATTCGAATCTCCTGCCTCCAGGCGAATAAGCTCATATATTTTTTTGTCAGAAATCATAGTCTTCTTCCAAATTGGACCATGAAGAAATAATGAAAATTTCCAGGTATTCGGGTTTGAAAATTGACCCAGTTCTTGTTCCTGTGCAATGTGCAGTGTGCAGTGTGCAGTGTGTGCCGTGTGAAATACAGATTACTAAAAATATTTTCACCCAGTATGTATGTAGAGTGTAAACTGTCGACGAGCACACTTGAACCTAAATATCTGTAGGCTATAAAAAAAAACGACTAACAAATTTGCGTAAACTTTAGAGACTAAAACCCCTTATGCCTAAAACTTGTGACTGAAAATCCCCTTAAGAAGGCTCACTGTAGACTGTAGAGTGCACTCAGTGTCGACTGTAAGTATAGACTACTGTAGAGTACATGCACAGTGCAGTCTGCAGACGTAGACTCATTGACTCATTGCGAAATGTAGTGTGTATTTATAATTTAGATCTTAGACTGTAGGGTTGTGTAGGGTGTAGACTGTAGCGTGTAGAACTATAGCGTAGACTATAGAGAGTGTAGACTGTGGAGTTAGAGTGGAGGGTTCTGACTTTAGACATAGCCTTCTCGATTCTCGAATGTGCACTTCTAAACCCCTGAATATCTATGGACTAAAAATCATGACTAACAATCTTCTGACTAAACTTATGACCGTAGCTCCTGATGCCTAAATCTTATGACTAAAATCACTTTATTCCTAAATTGTAAATATGACTAAGAAGCACTTCTCGAATCTCGGTTATGACGACGTATCGACGGAATTTATCGTCTGTCGACACTCGATACAACCGTCGGGAGCTAGATAAATATATGGTCTACGGACGGTGCCTCTCTCTAAAGGCCCTACATATATGCTACCGACATGCCCGGTTGGCATGTCTTTAATATACTGACCCCAAGAAGACATGTATCGCGAGTTCGCGACAGGTCGGAATTTCTCTCAATTTCGAAGACTACACATAGTTTTTGTTTCTTTTCCCATTTGTTGTCTGTCGTGCCTTTACAAAATATTATATGTACAGGACTCTGAAATCTGAATGGGTTCACGACTTCCCGTTCCTCGGGGCCACAAGAGGGGCCACAACCCGCCCCATACACAGTTTTTTTTTTAACCCAAAAAAAAAATGTATTATGTACATATAGAGATCGCGACACGTTCCATTTCTGTATTTCTGACCAATACACACATATGCCCATCCCTAAATACATATCGATAGGCTATTCACAACAAGAATAAGGGACAAGCATTTCACACTGTCCACAACCAATGGTCGCAGTCGGTGCTCGCTATTTTTAGAAGAGGGCTTATAGGCAAGCTGAGATCAATACGGAAGCACTGAACAACCCAGACCTGTGTGACAAATCAGCATGCTGGCATTAATTGATTGGGTACGGACATGTACCGTGGTCGGTATAGAAATGACCGCTGGCGACGTATTCTGCCAAAATCTCGAGCACAAACAATTAGTAAGTCAGAGAGATGAACTTCAGAACAAAGCCAACAATGTGCAGGTGTATGACTACGCACGGACGGCGGCAATGGCATTAACAGGTGCGTATAGTGTCTAAACAAAAGTATATGTTTGTATATACCGAAATTTATCCACTTACCTGAATACAAAATCATGAT